CGATATTTTACCGATCTTTTGCTTGACGATTTCCATTGCTTTAGCAACATCATTTTTGTTCATATCATTGTGTGTTTCTGGATCAAGAAATGCTGCAATCTAAACAAAGAAATCGCTTCTTTTTCTCAGATAAAACTACAAAACTAATTGGAAATTCTTTCTTTATAGATAGAAATAGTCCGGTGGAAATGAAACAATGAAAAGAAATCTACTAAAATTGTTGAGTTACAGAATGGTGGTTTTGAAATGTGAGAGATGGAGATAGCTCTCCTTCTTTGTTAAAAAAAATATTCTATGTCAAGCAGTTTGTTTTAGGAGTGGCACTTTAACTTTACTTTAAAAGTTAAAGTTAAAGTGGCACTTTAAAGTTTAAAGTTAAAGTTAAAGTAAAATACTTTAAAACTTCAAACTTTAATTAAAGTGAAACATGTTAAAACTTTAACTTTAAAAAAAAGTTAAAGTTAACGTGTCACCCCTATTTTTTTTCATTCTAAGAATCTTGGAGTTACTTTCAACAGATTATTTTTCTACAAATCTTCTTAACTCAAAACATAACTATTATATATATATATGGAAAATCAGTTTAAGTGGACTTACGAGCATTCCTTCTTGTTGTTCTTTTGATAAATGTTTTTGTATGTATGCATCGAGATAATTCAATGCAGTTTTTTTCAAAATTTCAATGTAACGAGAAGGATCTGTCTTCGAAATTAAAATTTGACGAAGCTTGGCTATTGCCCAAAATGAATCAGATAGAGTAGGATAATGACTAGCTGAAACGATTGTTGTTGCAGAATCGAATCCGGTCAAGACGTGATGGAGTGCACGGAGTACATCCCAATCATCTGGAGTAAGTGCAGCTAATTTAAGTCGATTCGTTTGAACGAGAGTGAGACCATTGAATTTTCGTCGAACAACGTTGTCGATGATTGTTTGATGTTCAAGTAGACGGTCAAGCATTTGAAATGTGGTATTCCACCGAATCTCCAAAAAAAGTACAAGAAAAATATCATATGATTTTAATCAATCATGAGTGAAAACTACAGTTCTCTCTATTCTACTGGAAATTGAGTCTTTAGGGTGAGATTAGATGGATCACATATGAAATTCGTTTTCAAGCAGATGTTTTGTAAATAGATCATACCTTTCATTCATTTCATTTGATTGTTTTGAAAGGAAAAGCTTACTCGTAAAAGACCTGTATTAGTTAAATTTCAAATGCCCATTCTGTCATATTAAGATAGCACAGCAGTCGCATGGTCCCACGTCACAGATGACTTATTTTATTACGTTTGTTTTACAAACTATAATGCATGCAAAGATAAACTCTTCGTATTCATTCTCAGCATTTACTAAAAGAATAGATCATTGACAAAGAATCTTAGCGGTTTAGATTAGACTAGTAGTAGTTTAAAAAGATCTTCACCGATATGGGTACTTAGGATGTGAATTTGCGTTGAAAATAGATATAAATTTATTTGCATTGTCAATATTTTAGAAAGAATCTAACAAACATCTGTACATTCTCCTACTCTTTTTATTTAGCTTTTCCTCTGAATGAAATTTCTTTGGAGAATATCTAGATGAATTTGAAAACATAAAGGAACTATTTAAGCCGAACATGTAAAAAAGAATCTAGAAATTTAACAGTTTCAGTTTGTTTTTATCGCTGAAAAATTAGAAGGAAAAACTTACGACCATATCAACTGTAAAACCACGTCCGTTCCCAATTTCCATCGATATGTATGTTTGAACAACACCAATATTACGCATGTCTTGTATCAGTTGACGGCATCGGCTAAGAAGATTGAAAACACGTTCAAGAAGACCAACAAGAGTAATAAGTCGAGTTTCTGGTTGAATCCTAACTGGTTCATCATCTTCACTTAAGAATTCATCTTGAAATGGTCGACTTATTTTCTTGTTGAGCACCACAACTGTGGATCCGGTTGGTTGAATTTGATCATGTTGAGATGAAGCCAAATGAATATTTTCTTGTGGTTCTTCATCGTTCAATTGTTGTGCATATTGATCTTCGTCGTCCAATAAATCATCTTCGTCACCACCAATACTATGAATCGATTCATTGTTGATGATGGACGCTTCATCAATTGGAAATCTGAAACAATTCATTTCTTTTGTAAAGTCAATACAAAGATGGTGCATGGGTATGCATAACATTCGCATTGAAAATACTGTAACTACTGTCGCTGACAGATTTTTGAACGATTCTCAGAAAATTTCTAGCTAGTATTCGATATTAATTGAGCAATGGACATTCTCGATGAATTCGTCGATCAGAGGTCCTACCACGTCAACTTGTTTTAGGTCTGTCCTGCCTAAGGCAGGCACACGCTTTTCCCAACCCGCCTGTGCCTGTCATCTTATTTCTTCGGCCTGGTCTATCTATCTACCTGCCGTTCACTCCACTCTGTCTGGTCTGTCTGCCAAAGTTTCTTTAACTTTTTCATGTGAACATCATTATCATAGTAGAATTAGAATTTAATCTTCGTAGAGAGTCTAACAAGTCACTGGAATGAATTTATATAACTATAGTAAAAACTCTCTAATGTGAGCATCCCAGAAATATTATAAATGTTCATTATACAGGAATGTTTCCTTCTTATGTGTGTCCGAAAGCATGTAAGAATAGAAGTAGAACAAAAAAACGTTTACATTGGAAAGGTTTTTCTATAGTCTGATCAATTAAAAGTCTCAATAAAACGCTTAATTTTTTTCCTGTATTTGTAAAGAAAAAAAAGCCAAGTTGTTACTCAGACTTTTAGCTCATAATACTACAGTAACCATTTCACTATGAGCTAAACGTCTCTGTTAAAGGTTAAGCTTTTTTTTTGCAGAGAGAGGAAAAAATCAAGGTTTCTACTTGGACTTTTAATTGATCAGATTACAGTTGGTAGAAGTTAGAAAAAAAATTGACAGTTCACTGTCATAAGGTGTTCACTAACAATAGAAAGTTCTCGCGTATGTGCTTTCATTTTCAATCAGCTTTTTGTAAACCTCGGTCATCTGATCGCGATGTTATAAAGCGTTCGTCTCTATAGATTGTCATTGAGGAATTAGTTCGATTCCAACTTCAGAAAAATCACTATCAGTCGTTATTTTGAAAACTTCGATTTTATGTTATGTTAGTTCTCAGAAATCAATGATTTAGGATTGAACATGTCTTAATTGACTGTATAAAAACACCCAATTAGCATAAATAGAAAATTCTAATTGCGTCTATTTTTTGATTATGTGAACACTAAATAATACTGTGAAAGTACGAAGTTCAACTTTCTTTTTTTGAAAACTGACTGGATCTCAATTAATATTCAGCCATTTAGGGTACACTGTAAATTAATGTTAATCATGTTCCAGTTATCCATCTTATTTACTGTACGTTTTCCCATAAACTTGCGAGAAAACCAATAAATAGAATACAGACTACTGATAACGATATATCAACAAGACTTCAATTACTAAGTCTTTAAAATAAAATTCTCAGAGGATCCTGATCAGTTTTGGAAAAAAACAGTTGAAATTTGTACATATACAGTATTATTTGGTGCTCTGATACTTTAAGAATAGACACACAGGTCGAAAATATCCCATCAAATCCGAGAAAATCCGATATTATCCGACAATCGAATCCGATGGGATGCCGATAGTCAGAAACCGGCGATGTCCTTTAATTTTCGACGTTTTCCGACAGTAGGAAACCGCCGGATACGACAATATCCGATAATATCGATGTCGTTTGGTCCATTCTTATCAATATTCAAAATACGCTTTAGTCACAGTCTGACAAACAGTGAAGCTATTTTTTATTGCAGAATTCAAGATTAATGTGATTCTTGAAAAGAAATATTTCATATTATATTCACGCAAAATTCTACAATAAGTATTTTATTTTATTTAATAAATTGTTTTTCTTTGTTTTAGGTCAATTTGTTCATCCAAACTGAACAGTAAGTATTTTATTTAATTAGATGAATTTTCTCTTTATTTTAGGTCAGTATATTCATCAAAATTGAGCAGTATGCATTTCTTTTAATTAAATAATTTTTTTTTCTTTTTTTTAGGTCAATTTGTTCATCAAAATTGAACAGTATGCATTTCTTTTAATTAAATAATTTTTTTTTCTTTTTTTTAGGTCAATTTGTTCATCAAAATTGAACAGTAAGTGTTTCCTTTAATTAAATAAATTTTTTTTTTCTTTATTTTAGATCAATTTGTATATCGAAATTGGCCAGTAAGTATTTTATTTGATGAAATAAATTTTGTTTTCGTTATTCTACGTCAATTTGTACATCAAAATTTAATAATGAGTACCCATGCCATGAAAATCGGTTTGATTTTACCGATTTTCATAAAATTGATGATTAAATCGCGATTTTTCTGCTGTATTTCTATAGCAACGAGTCAAAAAAATTGTGGATTAGTTGTTAGCTGAATTACGATTTAGCTCATAATTGATAGGCAGTTTTTTTGGCTTACTACTATAGAAATAGAGCAGAAAACTCGCAATTCATTCACCGATTTTGTAAAAATCGGCTAGATTTTGCCGATTTTCATAGAATGGCTATTTATTTAAATAGTTATATAATCTA